CTAATAAACAATTAATGTGTAACCTGTCGAAACTCTGTCGATTGATTTCTGGAGGAGTTTCTCCCGCAACCTTAATTCCATATATGGACTAAAATTAAGGCTCCGAATGAATCGATTCAATTTGATTTTATATTACACAGTGAATCTCAATTTAGTATATCTTGATTTAATGGGTACTAATGGATTGAGGTTTAATAATGAAACTATAATAATAATACTCTTCTCAATATAATGTATTTCTTGATACAGTCAAACCTTGTCATGCTGGATAAACTGGCACATAATAGTAATGGTAAGAAAATTTTTATTCAAGATTGTAATTGTAATTGCTAATCTTACCACAATGGATTTTATAGGATTTTATAAAGACAAAAATTTTAAAAATCCATTATGACAAGGGTTTAACTATAGCCCATTGTGACAAGTACAAGGTTTAAGTATACAGGTCACTCCCATTATAAGAAAAAACAAAGAATGTCCATATAATGGGATGTTCTTATAATGGGGAATTCATATAAAATCATGTGATTCATAAAAAAGGCTATATAAAACGGAACAATCTTTTTGTTATTATTATCTTTAGATGATTATTCTGTTTGTGAAAAATTATACTTTTGGGCGTAACTAAAATTCGATTTGGCGAAATTTTGTTCGAATAAATGGCCAAACTTTCGACAAGTGTGACAAGTGTCGATGCCTGGAAACATTTTGAGCACGGAGAAAGAATTTCTAAAGGGAAATAAATATACAGCGACTTGTCTTAATTACAAAAGAAATGGACAAGAGATTCTCCACAAAACATGTCAAATGAGTATGTAGTTTGTCCAGATGAAGTTTTGGTTGGGTGTCGTTTCTAATAAAAAAGAATTTTGCTATTATGGAGCTGATCTATTGGAAGAGCAAGTTACATTCAAGCAACTGCAGATATCGAAAATGATTTAAAGCTAGCCATCAAAAAAAGATCAACACTTACAGAAAAAATACTCGTGGCAAACCTTAAATTAGTTGTTGCGGAAAAGATAACACATTTAACTCATTAAAAAAGACACCTGGTAGAAAAAGAAGGGTTAGCATTTCTCCAAACTAGCAGTTTACATTCAAGGTCATGCATGCCTTCCATGAGGTAAAATAAATTCATGGAGAGACCCTAACACTACTGCTAAAGAATCACCAATCACCAAAACAAAGGAAATTTTAACTGACAAAGATATTCTATAAGACAAGACAAAGAAACGTTGGTACACACAGCATGTAAATTGGAGAGGCCTTGTATGGGGAGGGAAATACCTGGTGGTTAGGGTCTTTTGATCCATCTATAGCAACTAGAAAGAAAAAATTTCTGGGCAAGTTTAAATTATTACTATCTATAATGATCGGGCGGGACTCTGTAAACAAAGCTCTAAAATAATGGAATCACATTAGCAATGAAAAGAGAAAATCTTAAGTTTCACACAAGCTGGTGTGTTATCTCGTTGAAGCTCACATATGCGTTCTTATTTCTAAGAAATTGCAATTCTTTTTCCACACAGAATTCAATGCTATTTCCTGGTATGGTGAAGATATTTATTTATGTTTTTGGAAAATCGATCACTGTTCAATTCCATCTGAAGAGAATGATGATAGCTGCTTATTTGAAGACATATTTTGTGTTTCAAAAGAACTTGAGGCATGTCGCCACTTTTATTCTATCATTATATTACATATGGATTATGATTTACTAATTTTATTTTCTACAACAGAAAGAATTACAAAAAATTTTCATGGTGAAAATACAAAAAACAAAAAGAAGAAAGAAGTTCCTCCCACCAAAATGAGATAGATTTAACACAAACTATATGATTTTTGATTTTTCTAACAAAATACCAAATACTGATTATATAAATTCAAAAAAAAAAACTTTTTGATATTTTCTCTCTGATGTTTTTTGGGTACCATCAATTTATTATATATTTTCCAACAATCGTTAAATATAGACCTTTTTTGGGGTCTAGCTTCTGATCCTAATATTTGATTTGGTTCTTTATAAATGAACATTATAAAAATATTCACTTTGTTATTCACTTGTCTGGTTTTTTTATTGCAGTATGCCCCATTTGGTATCAATCTCTGTGATTTAACAATTTTCACATGGCAATAACATTTCAAAAAAAAATAGCTTTAATGCATTATGATGTCATTGAAGTCAATTTTGCATCAAGATTTTGTCATGATGATACAAGTATAATGAACTAATTTATAAAATAAATTCAAATGGATTTTTTCCTTAAAAATTTTTGAAAATGTCAGGATCAATTTTCTATAGAAGATGTCGCTTCATTTTTTACCTCAAAGAAGAATTAACACAAAAAAATATTGGAAATCATTTGATTTTTGAATGTGGCACTAAATTTAATAACAGATTGTCATCACGAATTACTCGTAATTTTGTCTCGAAAAAAAAGGGAAATGAGGGAATCCCTAAAAGCCAAGCTAAACCTGTAACTGCTAAAACTCACGAGGAACTTTCTGAACGTTCATATAAAGCTGCAGCACATAATCCAAACAATACGCCTGAGGGACGGTAAGTAACAAATAATAATTTATTAAATTAATTAAATTGATTTTATTATTGTTGGATATTTTTGGTGCAAATTTCATCATAATCATATTTATTTAATGAATCATTATAATCATTATATTTATTTATTTCTAATTTCTAATTTTTAGTCTAGAGGCAGCCAAAAAATTTTCGAAAAAATATAAAGAACGTACTGGAGAAACAATCGATCCAGAATATGAGGCTTCTATTGGTGACAGAAAGGCAGAACAAAGTTAATCTTAAAAACAAATCAAAATAAATAATGATTTTAATTAAAGTTTGTTATATTATTCGTTGTTGTTGTTGTCAGTTTTAGTTTTTTTTAAAAATTTATTTTTAACTCGCGTTATATGGTATATATTATAATACGCATATATACAATTTAAGTTGTGAGACATTTGTTCTACTGACCTTTATTTTTACCTTAAAGAATGATGTTTGTCGTCAAAGTTGTTTTCAAGTATTAATTAAATTTTTGTGGTTTTATTTACGCGTCAACTACGCGATTTGATCTTTTTTTTCAAAAGTAGTGATTAATCTAACCTTTTTGCAGAACAGTTAATTGTCTTTTATAAAAAATGTCGAAAATGTAGATATTCATTTTTTCAATGATAATTTTTATTTGCACAAATATTTTGCTTTTTAAAATAAATTTACTTTTTCGCAATCATAATAGTTTGTTCAAATAATAATAGTACTATTATTATTTATTGATCAAACAATCAAACAATTAATTAATTAATTAATTAAGTTAGAAATTAACGTTTACTAAATAATAAAAATATTCAGAATTAAATAAATTTCTAAATTTAGAAATGTTGAAGTTAGTTGATTGTCGACCAAATTAATATTACAAAAAGATCGGCATTAAAGAATGATATCACAACACTAATTTTTAAATTAAAGGTTTCCTAATTCAGTGTCATAATTGTTAATGTGAAATAATGATAAAAAATCCAGATTTAGTATACAAATAAATCAATACAAAAATTTATATTGTTATACTTTATATTATTCTCGTAATAATTATAAAAAGCTCATGATTCTTCTTTCATCTTTGCTCGACTTCTGAATTTCAAATAATTTCTAAATAACAAACGGGAAGAAAGAAGATTAAACACTTTCTTTTTTATTAACGTGGAATTATTATTTATATACAAAAAAATTCTAATTCTAATTTTTTTTTTTGGATATTAAAGTTCATCGCAGGACGACTTCAAATAATTACTATCCCTTTAAAAAAACAATCTTTTTTCGACCTGAATCTTATTCATTACACTAAATTACTATACTAACTGTCATATCCACATACTCGTCTCAACAATTATTCAAATATAATACATCAAACCCTAAACATTTACATTACCTTCGTTATATATTAAAATTAAAAAATTCTATAATTCAAATTTTTTTTTTTGCAAAATTACTCTTGAAATTTTGAATTGGGAAAAATGAAATTATCCAAGATTTTGATTATTGGTATTGTCTTATCAGCATGTTCCATTTTGTCGGTGAGCGGAGAAATTCAAGACGATATTGAAAATAAAGTTAAACGTGAAGAGTATAGACCAGTTAAATCTGGACGTGGGCATCGTCGTAATGACGGAAAGCAAGGTGGAGGCTCTCATGAGAAACGTCAAGAGTACAGACCAGTTAAATCTGGACGTGGGCGTCATCGTAATGACGGAAAGCAAGGTGGAGGCTCTCATGAGAAACGTGAAGAGTACAGACCAGTTAAATCTGAACGTGGAACTGTTCGTAGTGACGAAAAACAAGGGGGAGGCTCTCGTGAGAAGTGAATATCTCCACAAAAAAAGAATAACTCGTAAAATAAAAATTAGAATTTAAACGATCATATAAATAGAAATGTTTGATTAATTAAAATAATAGTTAATTTTTTATTGTATCCAAAATAAATATTGTTAGCATGATAATCCTCTATTAATTTAATATTTTACGCGTTGTTTTTTTTTTCTTGTTTTCAAATGTAATAATGATTTTTAATTTCAATTGAAAAAGCACAGTTTTTTTATATAAAGAATTGATGTCTTTATTTAAATTTATTTAATAATAATAAAAATAATAATGAATAAATATAATATACAAATCTTCAATAAATAAATTATTGAAAAATTTCTAAAATTAATATAACCCAATTTAAAGATCGCTATCACTATACCACAAAAAATATGAAAATTTAACATTCTTTTCCACCAGTCTTAACAATATATTCATCAATAATAAAGCTAGCCGCCTGTTTAGCACGTTTGATAATATCATCCTTATTATCACGAGTAGGATTAGAAGAAAGTAATCTTTCAACTTCTTCAGTTGCATATTGAGCAATAATTTCGTTGGCCTTTTCTTTACTAAATGCTTCTTTGGTTCGTGTAAAATGTTTTGTACATTTACATTTTGCATAACAAGCTGCACCGACAACAATCAATTCTGAATTAATGTACCCATCTTGTTTATAAGAAACAGTTTTAGTTGAGGTCACTCCACTAAAAATATTCTCAGCGGTAGTATGTTCGACGACAATGGTTTTAGTATCAGTGGTAACTTTTTTGGTTGTTTTTTCTTCAACAATTTTAGAACAAGTTTTCAAAAGTTCTTCTTCAAGTTCAACGTCTTTGATCTGTTCACTTAAATATTTTCTGGCCTTTTCATATTGAACTTTCCATGTTGTTTCATGAGAGGAAGCATGTATTTTAAGATAACTGATGGTAATTGCAGTTGTCCACCAAGTATAATGTGTAGTAGTTTTCTTGAGACGCTCGCTGACAGCATAAGTTTGAATGGTAGATGTGAATGATTGAGATTTTGTATCTGAGGAAATGTCAAGAATTCCAGAAAGTGTATCTGAAATGTGGAAAGAGCCGTCTTTATTTTGTTTAGAGGTGATGGTTTTTGTGGTTTCGACTGTGATAGTTTCATGTTTTACAAAAATGCTGCTGCTGACTTCTTGTATTGTAGATTCTTCTACTTCAAATCTTTTCTTGACAAATATTCTGGCAGCCTCAAGAACCTCCTCTTCAGTTTCTTTATCTTTCACAGTACTACTTAGCCATTTCAAAGATTTATTGTAATATTCAATCCATTCATATCTGAAATCTATCAAGACATAACGAAGATACCAAATCATAATGGCAGTGCTCCAAATATTAACATCAAGTCTGGAAGATCGAGAAAATGAGGAGAAATGTTTTAACAATTGAGTTTTTGCTTCTTCACTTGAAGAAAATCCAAGTGATTGAGATAATTGATTACTAAGTTCATAACAACCACTACTTGTTTGATAACCGAGGAAGCGACGTACAATAATGATAGTAACAGTTTTTCGGGTATATATTTTAGTTTTTGGCGAAGCTAAATATATATACGTGTGATGTGTAAATGAGTTTTTAAATTTTTTTAAGAATTAATGAATAAATAAATAAATGTAAAAAAACGTAATTAATACATACAAGTAATTTTTTGATGTTCTTCAATCTCATGTTGTGAGCTTCTACTAATAGATGATTTTATAGTGGTTTTTTTGGTAGCAAATTCAGTCTCGAATTTACTATCTGATACCAAGGTCTCACTTTGTATGTCGTATACTTCCTTCACAAATGATTTAATTGTTGAAAAGGTTTCACTTTCAACTTCTTCGCTTAAAAATATGCTCCATAACCAAACATAAGCTTTTTCATGTTGAGAAATCCATGTTTTTTTGTGTTCGATACAAATAAGACGTAAGTAATAAATTACAAGGATAGTAATCCAAACATTGATTTCTAATTTAGATATTGTTGAACTATTAGAAGAATGTGACTTTATGTGTTGTGTAAGAATTAAAGTAAGCTTCTCGATAGATTCAAAACCAAGTAATTTTGCAACATTATCATCAATTTTAAATGAACCATCGCTGTTTTGATATTTTATTATGTTTTGTACACGAGTAACCGTGATTTCTGTTTGAGTAAATGTGATTTTTTTATGTCTGAAGCCTTTATTGTTGTTGTTGTTGTTGTTATTGTTGTTGTTATTATTATTATTATTATTATTAAATTAATTATACATCAATTAAAAGATTGAAAATGAACGATTAAAAAAATCACCAGAATAAAATAATAATAAAATTTTAATTTACCTATTTCCTCTGATACTTTAATGTCAAAACGATCACGGATAGCACATTTACCAGTTGAAACTATAAGTTCTTCCAATTCATAACTACCGCCTGCTTCTTTAATGATGTATTGTTCAGCACGTAAATAAGTACTGTTCCATTCTTTACGGAGATCTTTGAATAAATATATTAAGAACCACATGACCATGCTAGTTATACAAACAGACTCTTTAACTTTCGATAATCTTTCATTTTTGATATGTTTACGGAATAAAGTCATAAGTTCTTCTGATTTTTCATAACCAAATAAGTTTGCCAAAAGGGGTGAGCTAGAAAAGCTACCGTCCGATGATTGTAATGTGATAACATTAAAAAGTGTGGAAGAATCAAAAGGTTTTTCTTTAAGATTTGCAAGAAAATCTGGAGATAATTTTCGAGGAGCGGCTAATGAAAAGAATTTAGCTTTATAATGAATTTGGCCTTGAGTTGAGAGTCTAACCCATCTATAAATTTTATTTATGTAAATAATAAATTTATTATTAATTTTTAAATTGTTAATTGTTTTAACTGTAAATAAAATAAAGTAAATGATAACTTACACATCTATTCCATTTGGATTAGGTTCATAGGTATTTTCACCAACTTCTTTAACAAGTTCTCTTGTAATTTCAAAATTAACTTGACCAAGCGCTACATGTTTAGTTATAGTATTGTGATCCATTACTTCAAGGATGAATTTTTCTCCGATATGATTTACAGGTAAATAATGAACTTCATTCCAAACAGGATTCAACTCGTTATCAATAACGCGAGTTGCTAACAAAGGCTCTTTGGTATTACTTTGATGGAAAACTCTAACATATGGATCAGATTTGCCTAATAATACACATGTGTAAATATATAATATATTAATAAACTGGTTAGAAAAATCATTTGCTAAAGATAATAAATTATTATTAAAGTAAATAAATAAATTGATTGATTTACCAGAAAAGAAACCGTCAACACTTTTCAAGCCTTTAGCACTTAACAATTCCAATCTAACAACACCAATTTTTTTGCCTATAAATATAAATATATATGTATGTATATATATAAAACGATTAAATTGTTGTAAAACAATGAGATCAACGTCAATTATAAATTATAAAATGAATAAAATATACCTTGAACTCTTATTTTTTGGGTAGGAATCACAACCCATTTGGATAAAGCAGGTTTGAAAGATTTTGATTTACTATCGCTCAAAATAATTGGTGCATTATCTTTCGCAGATGAGCTTTTTATTTCCAATACTAATTTAGGATTATTTTGCAAAGCAATGTGACCTTCGTTGGTAAAGACCCATCTTTGATTGATAGCTTGATTTGGACTTTTTCTGGAATGAAGTAACAGGCGGTTACCAGATTTACCTATTTATTTAAATTATATCATAGCAGATTTTGTAGTGAGTAGGTAGGTCGGCATTTTATGAAGATCAAAAAATTCGATTCAAGATTAATTTTATGATCATCAGTGAATGTTAAAAAAAAATCATATTAAAACTCGAGAATAAAAAAATAGCCTCAATTGACCAGTTATTTATTCAGTCGAGTTGGTCAAATTTTTTTTACGCGGTACTAAAATCTCGCATTCACAATATATCACGATCTATTTATCTAAATCATTAATTACCATTTTCAACTTCTAAACATAAAGAGCTTTGTTTGTGAATAATCCAACCATCGTCGTATTTCCATAATTGATAAGTGTCGTGTTCTTTGTCGCTTTTTTGAGTAGCGAGGATTGCTTTTGTTCCTTCTTTAGCAGTACTCCAGCCTCCAAAGAAACCACCGTGTTCTACGTCAACGACTAAATTTTGAGCGGCAGGGGCAAGCAAAGTTGCATTACCGGAGGGAGATGCGCTAGATTTAATGTAAAATTCCCCGATAGAAGCTAATGGAAGAGCCGACATTTATATTGTTATTATTTACAGTAGAGACAAATAGATTTTATATGATATATAATAATTTATTTATTATATAGTATGAATTTTCAATTAATAAATAAATAGTATGTATAAATAAACAAAAAGTTCCGAAAATAAAACGCTTTTCGGTTTGCAAGAGAAAAAATATTGAAATTAGTATCAAGCGTATTTATATCAAAACATAAAAAAATAGATTGATTATGATTGAAAATAATCCGATTTTATCACATATAACAATTTTATTTATTAATTAATTATATACGTGTATGCACATAATAATAATAATAATAATAAACAATAATAAAACCAGTTTAATTTTGTTTTATCAAAAAAAATTAACCATCAATCGATCATGATAAAAATTTATAAAGATTTTTTTTTTTTTTAAAATATGTAGGCTGAAAATGTTGGCTAATATTTTCGAGTTGTACAAATTCATATATTTTTATGGAGGAAAAAGGATTTGGGGTTTTGTTAATGTTATGATAATAATGATAATAATGATAATAATGATAATAATGATAATAATGATAATAATAAATAATTGGATAATAGTTTAAACAGTGCATATATAGTTGAAAGTAAACTAAGAAGAAGGAAGAGGAGGAGGAGAAGGAGGAAGAGGAAGAAAACTGTTAAAAATTGGGAAATGCTACCCCACTAAATAATTTAAAACGCGTGTTCAAAAAAAAATTCCCTTCTTTAGATGAAAAAAGTAAATTGGCAAATTTGTTTGAATTTGATTAATTTGCCAATAAGCCATAATAAACAAATCAAGAATTCATCACCATAAGAGGAAAAAGCAAGGGAAAACGAATAACACACGTGTGATGATAAAATCAAGGTTTTCTTTTTTTGAGTTGATTCTAATTCTTCTTTAATTAGTGTTGAGAAGGTTGTCGATGAGTTGGATGGTGTAATTGCATTGAAATTGATGGTCAATAATTAATTAATGATGAAAAAGGTAAGATTATGTGATGATACTATAAAATGTAACAAATGTAACAATAACGTTAAGATAATGTAAGGGAGAGAGAAATTAATTAATGAATGAACAAACAATAAAGAAAATAAAAGTTGTTTAAACTAGATTTATATGATGATATTTTTTAACCAGTCTCTCACAAGTATTATAAATCTTTATTTAATTTCAACCGAGATATTCGTCATCATCATATTTCAACACTAATAATGGCGAAATTGAAATTGTGGTGAAACGTATGTACGCTTTGAACCTCAAAGAAATCTTTTTTGTTTCTTTGTTACTTAATATACAAACAAATAAATAAAATATATAACAAGATGTTAAACAAGAATATAATTTTATCACATAAAAACATGTTATGAAGATCTTTCCGTCGATAGATTTTAAGAAACAATCATTCAAGGTTAAAAAGTTGGTGGTGAAATGGTTTAGGATTTTTGTACAGCATATTTAAATATATATGATGACGTTTTTGAAAAAGTTTAATTTTAATTTGAAAATTCACGGCGGAATTTATTAATTAAAATGTTTTGTGTAGTAAAAATAGAATTGTTTTCCCGCCATCATAATAAATATTATTTTTTTAACTTTTTTAAGCTTTTTAATTATGTTATTCATTTTTGGAAATTTTTTTTTTTTTAATTAATACTTAAATCGAAATATTTACTGTTACAAAAAAATATTGAAAAAGTATTAATTAAATAAAATAAATTTTTTGAATTTTTTACATTGACAAATTCAAAAACTTTATTATTTATTATTTCATATATTATAATAATTATTATTATTATTGCTATGCCATTTTCGCTTTCATGACCTTTATATATATAATATTTTGATATATTTATTAACAGTAAAATAAAAATGTTGTTTTAATAATAAAAAAGATCGCTAGGAAACGTTATCTGTTAATGTACAAGTGAAAATCCCAAATTTATTATATCCAGCACTGATTACTATTGTGAATTTCCAAATATATTCCAATTCATATTTTTTTTTTTAATAATAAGAACAGTTTTTTGGAATTTACTTATTTGGGTTAACACGTTATTATATAATAATAATTGAGTAACTAATCAACGATTTTCTGAATTATCACGATTCTCTAATCAATTATCACATAAAATCATCTAACTCTACATGTCAAAGAAACAAAATGAAGGAGAGAGAGATTCAACAAACTTTATAACCAACAATCAAACATATTATGAACATCATTAATGTTGTATTTCTTTGTTTTTTTTGGATTTAACCTTATCTAGAATGAAGGCGACTTATTATTATTTATTAGCTGTTTGGGGGAAAATTCACAAATAATATCTAATATTTTTTTGACACGTAAATATTTAGTTATACTGTATATAAAAAAGAAACAGTTTCAGCAGTTACTATTTACCATAATTCCTTTTAATGCACACACACACATATTGCATGAAACTCGAAGATCTTTAAATTGATTGATTGATTGATTGACTGATTGAAAAGTTCAGCGAGCAGATACTTTGACGTTATGATTTTTTTAATATATATAGATATTGCAGATAATCTTACTTGTATGTACAAAGCATAAGACGTTTTTAAAATAAATTTCTTTTTTCAAAATTGCTTCTCTCTTTCTAATAAATAACATATAAGACCAAATTTAATATACACGTGATTATGCATACATAACCACGGAATTAACCAATTTGTTAAAGTTTACAATGGCACATTGTTGTGTTTTATTAATTCAAAATTGCTAAATTTGATTCAATGGTACTTTTCTTCCGTAATTCCATTTATTTGCATAACAAATTATAATATACTAATTAATAATTTACATATTTACAGTATTATTTACTATATATAAATTAATGTATCTAAAATTGTCTAATTGATTTTTGTTAAAAAAAATATATCTAAAACATCTAAACCCGTCTAATATTTCAAGTTTTTATTTTATTCAATTTTTGAACATATCGATCGATTTTCTAAAACTTTGTAGATGTGAAAAAAATTTTTGTTTTTGATTATCTTCTACCAAATTTTTTTATTATTTATATACATTTTATAATTTATATATTTATATATTTTTTTATTATTTTATTTATATTGTTTATGTTTATACAAAAAAAATTACTACGCTCTCTCTATCTAATGCTGTTAGTGTTATTGACATTATCAGTTTTTCGTTTTTTCTTATTATTATTGATAATATTATGATTATGATTATGATTATTATGATTATGATTATTATTATTGTGGTTATAATTATGATGATTATGAATAAGATTAGGATTGGGAATAGAAATAGGATTGACATAATAAATATTGTTGTTGTTGTTATGACTAAGCTTTGGTCTTTCGTTAATTTGTTGTAATAAATTTGCTATAAATATTTGTGAACTTCTTTTTATTCCAAATGTTAATGAACAATTGTTATTACGTGAACGAAAATTATTTTCTAAATCTATTTTCGAAAAATTTTTTTTAATAATAAGTAATGAATTATACGACAATGTGCTAATGTTGATATAATATATACATGCCTCTTAATAGATTAACAACTTCTTTTTGTAAATTTTGAAATTTATTATATATCAAAACTGTTAAAGGTAATATTTGCATTGCTTCTTTACTTAATGTATCCTCCCTCAATTCTAAAACTATTCGTTTGATCGTTGGTAACATAGAATCTTTTGCTATTTCATATCTAATCGAGTTAATATGATAAATGCAAATTAAGTATAATGATGAAGATAAAGACAATGATAAGATGCATATACTCTATAATAATTACGTTTTGGTCATTGGCCAAACTTCACATAATTGTCCTGCTAAATTTAATCCAAATAATTGTTTTTGAGGATCTTCGTTTAATATCAATTCGTTAACCCAAAATATACATAAATCTATAAATAATGTTAATGTTAATATATATATTATATGGATAGTAATATATATGTATATGTATATGTATACATACGCATTGATTCAATCCTACTTGTGGTCAAAGGAAGTAAGTCAATAGAATATCCCGCAAAGTGTAAACTTTTTAACAATTCTGGATTTTCAATAAATATTTGATGTAAAAATCCAAATGTCAATACACGAATTTCCTCTAATGCGCCTTCTACAAATAAGAATAACAATAATAATAAATTTTAAATTTATTTTAAGTTTATATAAAAAACTCAACAATATTAACACAATTCTACGCGTACTGTTTTTATCATCTTCATTCTTATTTCTTATACATATCTCTAATAACATGTTTAAATACATGGTCTCTTGAATATTAATTAAATATTCCAATTTTTGTGTTGAATGTGCATCCTAAATTAAATTAATCAGTAAATATCATTGATTTATTGATTAATTAATTTAATGGTTGATTGATTGATTGATTGATTTGTTGATTGTTATTATTTACCTTTCCACGATTAAGTTCTTCCTCATTTAGTCGTTTCAATCGATTGCGTGACCCAACCGTATAAAACCGTAGTGTCTTTTCCCCCATAAATAAATAAAGATAAAATTTTTTAAATAATTAGTTTGTCCTGCATGAAAATTTTATATATAAATTTATTGATAATTACCCTTAAAAAAATTTTAAATATTAGAGGACACCTGAAAATTTTAATATTACAACGAAAAACAATCGATGGATCCAACATAATATCTCTCTCCATATATCTAATAAATGATCATCATGATCATCATCATTACTATTAAAATTGCTATTATTATTATTACCGTTTATTTATTATTATTGCAACTAACCTAATGTTTTGATCATCTTCACCACGTGTAGCATTAATAAATAATAAAGTAATTTCGTGAGGATTTATACTATAGAGTGATAGCCAAATTTGTTGAATTGATTCTAAAATACGAACATCTACACTTTTTTATTTTTTAAAAATAAAAAAATAATTGGATCTTTAATTAGTACATTATATAATGAATTTGTGTAATGTGACGATAAAGACATTAATAATATTTACTTTGATTCAAGTGCTTTAGGAAGAAAATATAATAAGAATGGTTCTGATATTGAATACAGATCCTCAGGTGGAATTGTTTCTAAACATTTTAAGGCTTTTGAAAATTTTGAAAAACAAATTAATTATCAATTATTATTATTATTATTATTATTATTATTATTATTATTATTATTAGTCACCTGATACAGTTTTTTCAACAGTGTTATGAAAATTTAAAACAGCAATTTCCAATAATTCATAAACTTCACTTTCATGACGACGACCTTTCACAATTCTTTTTTTGTATAAAAAAAATATGCTAATATAATCATATATTTATAAAATAAAATGTGACACACACACATATATAAATATATATGTACCTTAATATACGATCTTCATCCATTAAAAGACTTTCAATATCAAATATTTCTGGATAATAGTTAGTAATATATACTAATAAGTCTGGATAAATATTACGATATGCTACTCCATTATCACATCTTTCTGTCAAAAATAAAATTCTTCTTACAGGTATTGCCTCCGTTAATCGAGGTGTATATGCTACATACAAACATGTGATTGGAGTGTGTGTGAATATATTTTACATAAAACATACACACATACACACACATACATCTAATTAATAATATAATTTTTTTACCTGACTTTTGAGGATCAATAGTAATAGATTGTTGTCCGCATGATATTTTCATGTCTTTTACAACTTTATTATATGCTAATACAAAATAAAACAATAACACATGAGCTGCGGTGATTTCAATAAGATTATCTTGAAAAAATCCAAAAATTTTATTTTCGGGTATTTTCGTTATTGGTGACGGTTCTCCCAAATATCCCTCAAATATACTACACACATGCACGCACATATAGAAACCAAAAAAAAATTGAGAATGTTTAATAAAAAAAATACCAAAAACATTTTCCTTATTTTCCTTAATTCTTTTTACCTTTGTGCATAAGCTTTTATTAATGGACCCAATTGAAAATGGATAGGAGTAGTAGCCTGCATTATTTGGTTGTATATCCATGGCTGTATATCAACTTTACCTATCTGAAAAACGCTACCTTTAATCATTGTATAAAAGCATTTAAAAGAAATATATTGGGAATCCTTTGATAACTATATATAAAGTATGATTACTTAAATTTGTAAATATTATTTTTTTTCAATATTAAAAAAGATCAAAATCAAAATGTTACTGTTATATACCCCTAATCCATCAAAAGTATCCGGCTCAATTTCTAATGCAATTCTCGCCAATTTACTATCTATAAAATAGCCCCTCATTTCCTTTTGTAATTCTTCTAATCCTTTACCAGCTAATTATGTTAAAGATAAAAATAATTTTTATATGTAATAATTACAATTATAAATTAAAAATAATATATAAAAAGGATACAAATTACAACATCCAATGCTAATGTTGAACTACATATGAGTTTGATTTTTTCAAGTTGACTTGTTTTAAAATAATAGGCAAATATTAAAAATAATTGTTTATTATGTATATTCACTATTTTAGTAAATTCATTTGCAAGATAATTCTAAAATTTGTAAAGAAAAGAATTAGCAAACAACATATTAATACAATATAACAATGTAACAATATAGGAAATTACCGCATCAAAAAATCCCAATATCATATCAGAACACAATAATATAAAACATAAACATATTTTCCTGAGTCTTTTAAAAGATATATAACAGAAATGAATGTAATTAATATTCATAATAATACCGATGACAAAAATCAATTGATCAATGAATAAATAAATAAATACAAACCTATCAGAATCAGCATAACTCAGCACATTAAGACAATCTATTAATTCATTATGATCAAAACTCACTTTGAATATACAAACAAGGCCACATAAACATCTCATTACAATACAAAATCTTGTTCGATGACTTGAATGTGGTGTGGTTTTATCATTCTAGCAATAACAATAATAATGGGTAAATTATTTTTTTAAATAGATATAATATAATATATATATATATATTTGCTTACAAGTAATTTTCTCACAACAATCAATAATCTTTGTTTTATTGTCATTATCGTCTCATACTGAACTTCATTTGTAAGAAGCCATTTGGGGTTTCTACATAAAATACCATTCAAATATAATGGCTTAAAAGAAAGGAGAAATATTATTTATTAAATAAAACACCAATAATAATATATAATATATCTGCATAATATATAAGATGACTTCACATACACTAATTTTTGGATTTGGATTAAAGAAAATTAATCTAAATTTGAACAATAAATTTCTAAATTAGTTGATTTTCACTAATCCTATCCTAAAACTAGCTCATGTGAAGACACCATAACGCGTGCGCGCGCACACACATATATTAATTGACTTGATTAAAAAGTAAATAAAAATAAAAATAAACTTACAACATCACCTCCTTGGTCTAATGTCAATTTTAAGGCAAGATCTGGAAATATTTTTAGATCGGTTAACTTCATACGGACTACAATTGCAAGTTCATCAGTAAGTAAACACATATTATGTATCATATCCCTTTAAAAAAAAAAACAAATCAATTAATTAATAATATCAATAATAATATTTTTATTATTACCACTTTCTCTTCTAATTTAAGCAAAACAATTAAAAAAGCTTTTACCTAATACGATATTTTAATTTTTGCGGAAGGTATTTATGAAGTTTCAAAAGAATATCTGTAAACTGTAAATTCCAGATCAAACGTTAATAATATATATTTAGTAAATTGGTTTTTTGTTTAAAAAATCAAATACATGATGATGATGATGATGATGATGATATTCGAACCTCGTGAAACATTTGTGGACTATTTGCTACCAAAGGTATTATAAAATCTTTTCCTGTTTCTACAAGTATCAAAGCCCTGATTACATTCTGGAAATAATGATGATGAGGTTAGCATTTATTAAAAATTGATGGTCATAGTAAATATATATAATTTTCTATTTACCTCGTAATCGATATTTAATTCATTTGGCTTCCATATATATAATATTATCGGAAGAAAATATTTCAAGTTTTTCAAAAGATCAGTTCTTCGTAAATTGCGATAAAGATTATCCGAAAAAATTGAATCACATAAGCTTTGTATTCTTAAGGGATTTTGTTCGTAAACTGCATTGGCTTCTTTTATCAAATTATGTAGATCTTGTAACACCAATCTACCCATAAAAAAAATGATTAGAAAAATTTATAACGAAATAAATTTTACATAATAATAATCTTAACAATGACAAAAATAACTACTTTAAAGTTGATTCATGATTGTTTGGCATAAAATTACAAGGTTGACTTGGACGCCTAATAGTTAGCGCCTAATAATAATAATTATTATTGTTATAATGATTATTGTTATAATTATGATAATGATTATTAATTTAAAATGTTATATAATTGTACTTACATTTGTGACCTGTGAATTCGTTTGTGATGTCCTAACACTATTGATTATCTCGTCTCTAGGTAATGCTAATATATCTTTTACCAGGTCAAACTGTATATGTAAAATAATAATTGATTATTGATTTACATTTAAATTTATTAATAAATACAATTTTTTTTACCTGTAAATATCTTCTTAAAAAAGTTACTCGCTCAACAGGATAATGTTTTAATATATACGGTATAAAAATCTCGTAATTCTATATATATAATTTTTATAAATTTATATAAATAAAATATTTTTTATTTTTATTTTACAAACATGACGATCGCCAAAAAAAGGAATTTACCAAATCTACACTTTGTAATACATCTCCACCACTTTCCAAATATTTAAATGTTTCTTTTTCGCTCATTTTTTTATCTATTGGTAGTTATAAAAAATTATAATTATAACAGTTATAATTAACTATTCTTATTGCTTATTATCGAGTAATAAAATTGTTTAAAATCTTGAAATTTCTGCTGCTGTTATTTTTTATTTTATTGCGCACACTCACTTTCTGGTATGTGTTGTAAAAAAAAAAAAATAATCTAAATTTCCTCAACAGAATTAAAAAATCTATGATAATCAGACAGCTGGCTTATTTATAAAATTTTATGTAGTACAAATTATGCGTATTCGTTACGTGTTATAAAAAAGGGATTTTTGATTCAAATAAATTACGTAACAAACATCATGTGAGCAATTCATCCATGAATGAATCAAGAATATGATTGGTCCAAATAATTATGCAAAAATTAATTATAAATTTTTTTATTAATCAATCAAATAAGAGAATAATAATTGTGACAATAGTGATAATGAATAATAATAAAAACCATTGATTAAAAAAAAAAAATACAATTTTTTAATAAAATATAAAAGTATAAAACTTTTCTTATAATAAATGATAAACAGATTCCTTAACCTAATAATGGAGCATGTTCTGCCGATGAACCAAAGAAGTACTTTTTGACAAATGGTTTGACAATGTGGATTGAGGTACAAACAGCAAAGAAAAGAGATGTCCAATGGATGAAGGGATCATCTTGAGCAGCAAAGATACCGTATAAAGCCCCAGCGATGACAAGTGCACCAGCGACATCACCTTTGAATTTTTCAATGTAACCGCTGGCAATTATTTGAAGTGTGAGTAAAGCAAAGAATACCAAAACCTTTAAATAAACTTTTGGTTGTTTGTCGTCCTCATCGTCAGTTTTTTCTGGTGTAAAGGCAGCAAATAAACTAAGCATAAGGAGGAATGTAATCCAAGCATGATATAAGGAGAATGGTGCATGTATCCAAAGAGTATCATTAATTCCTTGAGCAGGGAATTTGTTATGGAGTCTGTAGTAGACATGTGAAATTTGGGTAGAAATAATAACAATAGTGATCAATGCAAGTATGAGATGATCGGTTTGCTATATTTGCATATGTGAAGAAGTAGGAATATTAATTAATCAATCAACCATGTTAATTATGAAATTTATTGATTTTATAATAGATTTCACATACCCATAAATAAACCCATAAAGCACTGAATAGAGAGATGCTAACAAAGTGAAAATGTATTCCATCCACGACGGTTTCCGAGGCAGAGTTGAAGAATTGATAAATAACTATAACAATAACAACAGCAATAATAATAATTATTATTAATTATTAATTAACAATTAGAAATTCTTTTTGTTTTTCTTTGACGATGAAAATTCTTTTGAAAAAAAGATATTTACCTAGACCCCCTAACAAGAAGATAATGACTGCCCAAATCAAAAAGACACATGGATGTGGTGTGATGTAAGTGTCATGACCCTATATAGATTAATTAATAAATTAATAAATCGAAATTTTCTTATTTAATATAAATAATAAGTATTTCATTAAAAAATAGTAGTACCTCAAGACCAGAGTATATTAATGTTAATAAGTTGGTAGTTAAAAGAAAAGCATAAACCAGCAAATTTGAAATTTTTATGAGAAGTGGGAGGAAAGGCATTTTGTTAATTATAATTTATATGATAAATAATAATAATTTGTCGTTAAAAAAACTATCTACAAAATATAATATAATATATTTATACAAAAAAAAATTTTTTTTGATAATTGAATTAAAGAGAAAAGAGAAAAGAAATGTGTGTGAGAGGGTTAGAGAAGGTGGGGTAATCATCTTTTATAATAAATAAATAGTACGCCTATAAATTTGATTGTGTGAGATAATCTAAATTGTGAGAAGATTAATAATTGTTTGATTTATTTATTGATTGATTAAGCATGGGTAACACAAATTTTTAATATTTTCTTACGAGTTTATTTTCCTGATTTTCTTTGTGGTAACGTTGTATAAATTCCTTAGCCCACACATCTTTAATTTTCCGAGCTATCCCGGCCGAGAAAGAACAATTATATATAATATAGAGAAAACATTTCACAAACAAAAACGTTATTGATTTTTTCTTTATTAGTTAGTATTAGTAAAAACTAATTAATTGTTTTTTAGAAATAATTTGTAATTTTTCTTGATGAGGGAAAGATTAGGTTTTGGTGATAATAGAAAGTGTAACACACTGCAAGAAAATTACCTTTATCTGACAAAATTAAATCTTTGAACAATCAATTCGTTATGCTTAAATTATTATTTCGTCATCTTTTATTTGTATTAAACGAATCATCTAAATATAGTGATTTACATTTGGGTGAATAAATTTGGTACGTAGGAAAAAAAATAAAAATTAATATTCATTAAAGAACCTAAAAGGGGTAATCAAAGAACAGTTGGCACATTGATAACCTTGATAACACATTATCGGATATAATAATAATAATTAATAGTCGATCACTAACCGTTCGTTATTTTTAATCCTGTAAGATTTGAGCTTACAGAACAATCAACACGAAAACATTGTATTATAAAAAGATTTATTAATGTAATTTCATGTTGCGAATGTAATTTTTGTCATTAAAAAAAAATTCGTATTATTATGGATTTGAAAACATTTTTTAATTTTTTCTGTAGCTATTTTATTTTCTGGCTATAAAATTTTTTTAATATTAATCAATTATCTACCAGATGCAATTAATGATAAAGTAATCAACTTGTTAATTTGTTAACAAAAATTTATTTCTGATAAAAAAAAATGCCAACATGTATATACTATTTAATCTTTCTTCAAAAGAACAAGAAATCATTATCTCCGATTTGCATGACGGAGGGAGGGCAAGAAAAAATAAATAAATTAATAATAACTGAGAAATAATTTGCTGCGCACTTACGCAAAAATTCGTGTTACACGCACGTTGTAGATCACGTTTCACGAAGAACCGATTAAAAATTCTCAGGCTAGGATTGTGTGAAACAAAAGATTTTCTATGTTAGAAGAAGTCGGCCAAGTTTCCTTCTGAAGAGCTGCAAACACATGATACAATTGAAGGATGATAATTCATTTTGCACAAAAACTTTAGAAGAGAGAAACATTTTAAATTTTCATATTATAATTACGTCCTGAAATTACTCGAATATTGGATAATAAAAGGTCATATCTTGAGCTCTGAGAATTATTCTTATGGAATTACTGACCGGCATTAATAAATAGAAAAAGTCGCCTGAAAGGTAGTAACATGTAACTTTTGGGTCTATATATTTGTTATAAAATCCGAAAACTGATTGATCCATAGACCAAGACCGTTTGTACATTCTCAATTATAACGATATTCCGATGCATAAGATTGTATGTATTATGCATAAATTAAATAACTTTTAATTTCAATTTCAAAGATATATGATTTCTAACATTAGATGATTCTCGTTATTTATCGCTAAATCGTTTTTATTGTCATTAAAAGGAATGATCGTGAATATATAGTTGACTAGAAAAAAGTAAATAATTGTCGGGTAGTTCTTTTCATTAAGTCAAAAAAAAAAAAATAATAATTATAGTTATACTTATTGATAGAAAAGATGCAGAATATGTATTCGATGAATATTATATGCGCTGATTTTTGTTTGAACCCCAAAATCCAGTACGGTATGATCATAACGTTATGAATACTTTATACTAGCAAAAACCCATTGGT